CATTCGTTGGTCATCACTTTTAACCCCGATAGTTGACGACTGGTTTGGAGGCGTCAAGTGCGAACAAACTTGGGTGGTGCCAAGGACTGCGTCGATAAGTACCGTTCGACGCATGTTCGCGTTTAATTGGCCTGGTCGCGCCTTGGATTTAACAGGGGTCCTCCCTGGAACGGACGGGTTATTGTCTACTGAAAGGAGCGACAGGCGACGCTGTCTGTCTTGCGTCCACGGTATCCAACGGCGATCGAGCCAAGGGTCCGAACATCCATGCAGCGCCCAGCCACTGAGGTCGACCTACCTCGCCACTGGGCCGAACTCGACAGCTGACTTATACGGGTCATGTCTGCCGCGTGTATGCTGCGAGGAGATCAGAGTCATCGGCTCCCAGCCTTCCAGCGACGGACGATTCTTTTTCTGTGTACATGCGTGATTTTCCACCGTCGTTTGGCCCTGCCCTGTCCTGCGCCGTAGCCGTCGTCGTGAGCTCTTACCGTTTGACCGAATAGTTCGCATTTTAGCCTACTTTCCGCCATCTGCACGTTTCACCTCACCCATGTCCGATTCGATTTAGTTTGTAACTCAGCTGATCCGTGACTACCATCCACACGGAAACGGCCGAACAGCACTCAGATCGCTTTTTCGGCACCGATTGTGCAAAAACCATAAGTACTCCCAAATGAGAACATCATAATGGTGTAATCTTCTAAGAGCAACGGAAATCGGCGCTTCGGTGAATTCGAATCCAGAATTTCCTTATTGCATCTTCACTTAGAACCAACTCTGCCATACGGCCTGAATATGAATATCATTTTGCATATGCTAATGTAGCAGTTCTGATGTTTCTGTGAGCGTATTTGCATTACTGGTCGTCATAGCGTTATTCTCTGTTCTGCAATTAACGTAGGTCAGATGTCTGCGGTCGAACGGATTTGACTTTTGACTATTCTTGCAGTACCCGATTCTCTATGTAAAACTAAAAAAAATGATTCCAGAATTGCCAACATTTTCAATTTATTGTCCTTTTGCATCTACTGACCGAGAACCGCTTCTATGGCGATTAAACGTCTTTTTGTCTATGGATTTTTCTTTTTTTTCCACCCAAAAGAAAAGCCACGGAAAGGTCTGCATCTGCGTCTTCTAGGGCAACTTTCGTCGTCGATTCTTCTGTGTTGTCCCCCTGATGTATTGAAGTCGGTATGCAGGCAGATTTCTCAAATTTTCCCCTGGTACCTCTTCGAACCGCTTACTGTGACACATCCTTCGCTTACTTTCTCATTCTTCTTTCGTTTGTGTCCGCCAGCTCGTCTCGATCTATTCTCAACGGTTAATAAAGCATTCCAACGATCGATCGTTCGCCTCGTACTTACTACATCAGTTATTCACAAGAGTTTCGTGATCATAGAGCCGGTGATTCTTGTTCTGCAGCAGAGAAGAAAAGAAGCATTTATAACACATTATTTATTGGAGTTTTACCTCCCTCGGTCGAAGTTGCATGAAGAGAATGAGGAAATAGTTTTGGATTATTGGGACATTCCGTATAAACTATCCTCAAGAGGGCAACGATGTTGTAAGGGTGAGGTCCTTCAGCCGCTACGGTATCTGTGAAGGC